TTCTTACAAAATAGATGAAGAAGATAAAAAGAGATGTAAAGGAGTAAAGAGAAATATAGTAAAAAATTATATTACACATGAAGATTATAAAGACTGCCTGCTTAGCAGGAGAAATCAGATGAGAAAAATGAATGTCATAAGATCTCATTTACATGATGTTTATACTGAAGAAATAAACAAAATAGCATTGAGTGCAGAAGATGATAAAAGAGTAATTCAAGAAGATGGTATTCACACATTAGCATATGGACATTATAAATTAAAAGAGAATAAAACATTGGTTCCTTCGGAACCCAAACCCAACTTTTCATTTCAAATTGATTGGAAATAAACAGGCAAGCAAGCAGGCAAACACGCAGGTAAGTTATTTTTTATATCTTAAAAAGATCTAAAAAAATCTAAAACTATTAATAAAAATGGACAAACATATCAATGTTGAAGGAATTATATTGCCAAATGTACCCTTAACAAACTTTCAATTAATAAAAGCAGCAAAAAAATTAAAAATTAAAAATTTTAGAGGTGTATTTGTAAGAGATGAATTACCTAAAAATACACAAAACAAAGAATGTGGAATATTAAATACTGGAGATTCAAGTACGAGTGGATTTCATTGGATTTGTTGGTATAAAGATGGAGAAGAAAAGTTAAGTTTTGACTCTTATGCACTACCACCTCCAGTTGAACTTGTTCAATATTTACACAGTCCTGTTTATTATAATAGTAAAAGAATTCAGTTTGGAGACACTTCTTTTTGCGGGCACTTGTGCCTTTATGTATTAAAAAAGCTTGATGAAGGTGTTGATTTTCAAAGTATTGAAAACTCATTATATTGAATTAAAAAAATATAGCATATTTAAAATGAGTATGAATATAGCAGGTAGTAATTCATTATATGGTTACACAACAGATGGATTAAATATCAACATTAATGTTGGCAATACAGCCACTACTGATGTTGATTTAAATTCACATAAATTAATCAATGTAGCTGATCCTACAGATGCACAAGATGCAGCTACAAAAAATTATGTAGATAATAATCAGATTTCTAGCAGTTCCTATCTAAAAATAGATGGAACTAATAGTATGAGTGCAAATATTAATTTGAATTCACATAAATTGATCAACGTAGCTAATCCTACTTATGCACAAGATGCAGCTACAAAGAATTATGTTGATAATAATCAGATTTCTAGCAGTATGTATCTAAGAACTGATGGTTATAATCCTGCAACTGCTAATATAAATTTAAATACAAATAAACTTATCAATGTAGCTAATCCTACTGATGCACAAGATGCAGTTACAAAGAGCTACGTTGATGATATGCAAAATCAAAGTTTAGATATCATTCCCAATACAAGTTTAATATGCCTTGGACAAAAATCTCAAGCATTCTATGCAACTCCAGGATCATATACCATTTTTAGCTATAGTGGTAGTTCAGGAATTCTAAAAAAACTGTGGATTGCATTTACAGGATCTACTATTGCACCTAATACAGTACCAGGTAACTTGTTTTTAAAAATATATGCTGACAATGTACTTTGCATAGGTAATGATTCTATTGTAACAGATGGTGTTGGTGTTAATAATACAGCTTTAGCTTGTGATTTATTAATTGCACCACTTGGTGGATCCTATTATGCAAACTCTTTACAAGGATGTAATGTATTTAGTACAAGTGCATTAGGAGGATATTTTACATTTGATCTTCCTTTTACATCAAGTTTGAATATACAATTATACAATAGAACAGGAAATTCAGTGACCTTTTGGTTACAACCTTTTATCACAAGAACTTCATCGTTACAAGCATTAACTAGTATTAATCCTCTAATACCTCGATCTATCTCATCTATTAAGTTGTACTCATCAACATTTAGATATGTAAATACAACTTATGGTAGTGAATATATGCTAATGAATGTTATGGATAATGGAAACGGAGTGTATTTGAAATACATAAGAATGCATGTTGTTGGAGGATCTGGAGACTGGTGGGAATCTAGAGTTCGCATCTATGATGGATATGGTGCTCCTACCCATACTAACTCTGTCATTCAACCTTGGACACCCTATAATAATAATGGATATACTACATTTTCTGGATATGATGTTAACAGTCGATGTATCTACGCTTCATCAGGTTTAGAAGATTTTTATCTCTCTTCATGGAATGGATCTAATGTAAGCTCATTTAATAATGAAGTATCAGGATTGTTGAATCAATCAACTAGTACAATTGGTCCATCAACTACAATTTCATTTTATAGAAACTTTAATTCATCTGAAAGTATGCCTAGCGTTGGTATAGGTAGAAGAATGGTTGTGACACTCAACTCTGGTGATGCACAAGTTGGACAATCTGGGAGCTATGCTGCACTGATAGGACAATGTTTCTACTATGCTTAAGTAAAATCCTAGCGCATGCGCATTAAAAAATAAAAAAATTTTGAAAATGATTTAAATAATTTTCTTGTATATATAAAAAGAATGGAAAATAATTTTGAGAATAATAAATTTTTAATAAAACCTTCATCTCAAGTATATTATATTACTGCAATATTAAAAAAATATAGGTATAAAAAAGGTAATAAGGTTGATTTTTCTGCAAGTATAGGCAGAAATGATCTTATTAAATTATTAAATCAATTAGGTGAAAAGAGTACAGAAGATGTACAAAAATATTTACATTCGTTAGGTTATAAAGGTATAGAAGATGCAATAGATAATGCTGTAAAAGAAGGTCAACTTGAAATATTAAAATATTTACATGAATTAGGGTATAGAGGACCTGAAGATTTAATTGATATTGCTGTGAAAGAAGGTCAACTTGAAATATTAAAATATTTACATGAATTAGGGTATAGAGGACCTGAAGATTTAATTGATATTGCTGCTAAAGAAGGTCAACTTGAAATATTAAAATATTTACATTCGTTAGGTTATAAAGGAGATGAATGGACAATTCATTGTGCTGCAAAAAATGGACATCTTGAAGTACTTAAATATTTACATTCAATAGGATATAAAGGTACAGAATATAATGTATATTCTGCTGTTGAAAGTGGAAATCTTGAAGTAGTAAAATATTTACATGAATTAGGGTATAAAGGAAATGAATATGCATTTAATTGTGCAGTAGGATATGATCACCTTGAAATAATTAAATATTTACATGAATTAGGGTATAAAGGTTCTAAATGGGCAATTAATTGTGCTGTAATGAATGGATATATTTAAATTTTGATACATGTAGTGACTATAAATTCTAGTAGTGATAAAGTTATGCAATGCTCCTACACATAAACAAAATCTAAAATAAATTCCAGCGCATGCGCACAGATCTGAAAGATCAGTTAGCGCACAAGAGCAATCTGCGATAGCAAGAAAAAAATTTAAAATAAATTTCTTTACATAAATTATAAAAAATGGATTTTACAAGTAAAGATATTAAATTAGGAAGTTATAAAAGAAGATTAAGTTTAGCTCGTTATTTGCAAAATAAAATTAAATTACATGCTGAAAAGTTAGAAAATGAAAGATTAGAAGAAGAAAAGTTAAAAACACCAGATCAAATTTATTATTAGAAAAATCACGTGACCTGTGACGTCATGCAAGAATTTTTCATAACATTTCATAACAAGAAATAAAAATTAACACTTATTTTAAAAAATTGATTTTTTAAAATAAAAAATTATTTCTTGTTGAAATAATTTATACACAATATGGTTCAATGTTAACCCAATATTAATATTAATTTATGGTTGAAAATTTGGTTGAAAATAAAAATGGCTCTGAACTCTCCTTTTCCTACTACTTATTTTTAATGATTTAAATTTCTTAATTGATTTTTTAAATGAACGCTTTTTTTAATGGGTTTGTACTTTTATTTTAAATAAACTTTTGTTGCATTGTTTATTATACTCACTTTGTGATGAGTGCAACTATTTCTGTTATTTCCTGATCATAGCAATTTTTTGTAAAACTATTATAATAAATAAAGTGCCATATTGATCTTTCAGTGTTGAGGTCATATTTAAAGCTTATTGTTAGAACTTTTTTTTTTATTAAGAACAAAAAGGTTTATACACATAGACTATTATTGGAGTACTTAGTACTATCAATGTTGGAGTTACTGTTGGTTACTTGAAGTCAAAACTTTGAAATAGTCATGGTATTTTTCAAGTTTTAAAAAACATAAAAAGCTATGTTTTTTTATTAAATCTTTGATTCTTTTTATGTACTTTTGTGTTTCACAACTTCACTTCATCTTTAATGCTCATCTCACTGAAGAATTTTATAAATGAATGCTCTGCAAACTGAAGGTATCAAGCTGGCATTTCTTACTAAAGTTTTTCTTACTAAGATTTAATTTTCCAAAGCAATTTTCAAACAACTTGAATAATTTTTTTTATTTTATCTAAATTAAATATAACTAAAAAATACTTTAAATTAGATATTTAAAAAAAGACAAAATAAATAATGACTTTTGAATAATGTGTTATTTCTTAATGCATTTCGGATTTTACTCTTTTATTTACTGTTATTTTGCTTGAACTCAAATCTTTTTCAAAATTTCTTTTTGAGTTTTTAATCAATAACAGAAGTAGAATTATTCATTTATTAACCCATTCATTATTAGTTTTAGTTTAATATGAGGGACTGTCCATTAATTACGTCAACATTTTTTTTGAAGTTTTTACCTCCCCCCTCCCCCTTGTCAACAATTTGTCAAATTTCCAGAGACCCCCTCCCCCTCCCAACTTCCTTCCTTAGCCTAAAAGAGCCTAAACTCAAAAAAAAAATGTTGACATCAACTTTAATTGACCTCCCCCCTCCCCCTGGTTAACAATTGCCAAAAATGTTCAGACCCCCTTCCCCCCTATTTTGTTGACATAATTAATGGACAACTCCTGAGTTAATTTAAATTTATTTTAAAAAAAAAATTATTGTTTATTTATTATTTTTTTTTAGTTGTTCTTATTTTCTAGGGAAATTCAAGTCACTCAAGTCAGTCAGCTACAATCAGCAGATTACAGCAGACAGTATCTGTACAATTTAGGGTATTACATGTTTTATTATTTATTTATTAAATTAATTTATTATTAAAAACTTACAAAGTGTAATTAATAATACAAAAAGTTAATACAAAGATGCATTTTTAATAACACTAAGCTTTTTAAAGAATGGTTTACATTTTACACTATAAAAATGTGTCTCTCACCCTCTTCATGAAATATGTCTTCCACCCTCTTTATGAAAAATGTGTCTCTCATCCTCTTCATGAAAAAGGTGTCTCTCGCCCTCTTCACAAAAATTTCATGAAGTTGATCATGATGGTAATCATGATGGTTATTATGATTTTTAAATTAAACTCTCTGCAATATGAACATAAAAGGTACATAGTTTCCAGGCAAAGAACCATCCTAAACATGACAACGCTGTTCAATTCAAGGGCGAATAATGAATTTATATGCATAGAGAATGAAATCAGGAATGTGAGGAACATAATAGAGGCAACCTTAATAGATGCTAACTTTGCAATACATTGTTTATATGGTTTCCATGACAGGTCAGTAGTGAGTAATAATAATAATAATGGCAGGTCAGTAGTGAATAATAATAAAACTATATTACTGTGATTAAAAACAAACGATTCAATAATTTCAAAAACTTTTCCAGATACAACATATGAAAATAGTGATTTAAGTAAAGTAATAACCTATAGTTTTCATCTAAATTCAAAATTCAAGTAAATTATAACCTATATATATATATATTTTTTTTCCTCTAGCAATCCCTCAGGATGTTGTTATCAAAAATAATCAAGTCAGAACCTCATTTTGTGCGATGTTTGCGTCCAAACTTGCAAAACAATCCAAATATATTTGATGCTGAAAAGGTTATGAAGCAACTTAAATATACCGGGGTTTTAGAAACAGCAAAAATCCGACAAAAAGTAAAAACATAAATTTTTTTTATTATAGCTACACTATATTTATTTATATATTATGTACTACATTTGTTAGTTATATATTGTTTACATTATCTGTAATTTTGTTTTTTTATATGGTTTTTAGGGTTTTTCTGAAAGAATTTTGTTTAAGGATTTTGTGCAAAGGTAATTTTTCTTTTAATTTTGTTGGTATAAATGAAAAGATAAATGATTTATCAGATGATTCTTTACATTCATCGATTTTTTTATTTCATGTATTTGCAGATGATTGCTTAGATTAATGATTCAAACAAATTATTTGCAAATGGTTTTTAGATTAAATTTTTTTATTAAATCAAATTTTTGTTCTTAAAATCATTAGATACAAGTTTATTTTTACTGAATTTACAAAACCATTAGCGCCAACTCCTGCTAACTGCTTAATTATACTACGTGAATCAAAGATTGACGAAAATGAACAGTGGCAAATTGGGAAAACAAAAGTACTAATATTTATTTATTAACTTTTTGTAATACTTTTATATCAAGTTAATTAGTTCACAGTTTGGTTCACAATTCATGTTTAATTTTTAATTTTCTCTTTTCTCTTTGTTTATTTTTTTTATTTTATCTTTGTTCGCTTGTTTTACAACAGTTTATTGATAGTATTTTTTGAAAAATGCTTTACAAAAATCTTTTTTCAATTAAATATGTAAGAAACTCGTCAAAGACAAATATTTTACAGAACAAAGTTTGTTTTGCAAAATATATTTTTCTTTTTATACAAAATGAATTTTTTTTTTTTTATTTCATGTTGCTAATGAAGATTAAACTAAAATTAATCAACCTAATTAAAAGTTTGCACATTTAAAGTTTAAAATGTTAGAATTACAAATCATATGTTCAAAAATCGAACCATCTATTAAAAAAATAATAACAAATATCTTTAATTTGTAGTATCTTAAATTTTGACTAAGTTTTTTTAACTAATTGGTTCTTTTTATATTTCACACTTAAAGCAAATTTTCTGAGAGTTTAAATGGTTTTACAAACTCCAGTATGATTTTTGTAACAAATCATCATCATTCATTGATTCATGTATTAATAGAATTTAACCTTAAGTTAACAAACACTTTTTTTGTATCATATATATTATATATAAAATATAATGTATTATATAATAAGTTTTGGTTAACTTGATACATACATTATCATATTTACAAACTTGATACATTCATTATCATGTTTACAAACTGAAGCACCACAATGTTAGTGTTTTGTCTCTCACAATTTCTAAAAAATGTCAAATAGAGTTTTTTTATTTTTATCTTGCATTGTCTACTGGTATTTTTGAAATAATAAACAATATATGTTTAAAGACTAAAATACTACTGCTTTCAATAACTAACATGTATAAAAATAAAGTAATATTTTTTAGGTTTTCCTAAAATATTGGCATGTAGAAAAATTGAACAGCGTTGTTGATATAAACTATACAAAAATTAAACTTTGTCAAAAAGGTAATTAGTTTATATATCTTTGACTTTTTCCTCTTGGAATTTTATTGCGATTAGAGAACTATTATTATGGTTACCATAATACAATTAGACTAAAACAAATATGATACCATAGTACAATTGAATTTGATAAAGTATTGGTTAGATTGGGTTGAAGTACAGATTATAATAAATGCCATCTTATTTCAAGTGAGATTTGTTTTCTTTTTTATAGTTGCAAGAAGTTTTATATTTCGAAGAAGATTTAAAAAAGAAATGGCTGCTCGTCATAAAGCTGCAACTAAAATAAGAGCAGGTAAAAACATTTAAATTAAATTTTTTTGTTTTTTATATTTTTTGTTTTTTTTTATTGATTTTTATCATCATTTTATTGTATTTTTATTGATTTTTATCATCATTTTATTGATTTTATTATATTGACTTGGTTGCTAAATTATCTTTTTTGACTTTTGATTTTTAATTTTTTACTAATTTAAGTAGATAAATAAATATTTTATTTTCATTATTTTTACTTTTCATTTTTTTATTATTAACCATTCATTTTTTATTACAAAGTGTTCGTCATTAACTATTCATTTTTCATTATCAACCTTCATCATTTATAATGTTTTATATTTAACGTAAATGAAGTTGAAATTTACTCTATTGCACAAACAAAACTTACACTACTGCACAAACAACACTTACACTACTGCACAAACAACACTTACACTACTGCACAAACAACACTTACACTACTGCACAAACAATGTTTACTAGCAAATCATGTTTTGATTGTTTATTTGTTACATTATAAAGTTTAGAGAGTTTAAAAGATAAATGTAATCAAAAGTATTTTATTAGATTTAAAATGAGTTAAAAATATGAAGTCAAATAAATTAAAAACAACTCTCTCTCTCTCTCTCTTTCTCTCTCTCTCTCTCTCTCTCTCTCTCTCTCTCTCTCTCTAGGTTGTCTCACAAATACTCTCTATGTTTATATATTTTGTATAATAAGGCAAACATTATACACTCCACAAATACAATCTTGAGTTATTTAATTTTAGTTAAAAATACTTTGCTTTTATCAATTAAACACTGAAAAAAGTGGTAACCATCTAGTTGGTCACTATTTTCTTGGTCAATTTAGATAATAATTTATTTATATAGATAATAATTTATATGCATAATATTTTATTTCAGTTTGGTTGGGTTACAAACAAAGGAAGTTGTATTTAAAGAGTAAAATTAAAGTTGATCCAGAGGTAACAGAAATGGGTGAGAAATTTATATTTTCTAAATGAAAAGGTTATGATGATGATGATAATGATGATGGTGACAATGATAATAATGATGATGATGATGATGATGATGATGATGATGATGATGATGATGATGATGTCATCATCATGATCATGTAGTTATAAAAGAAAAAAATTCTGCATAGCTATCCTTCACAGTAAAAAAAAGAAGACTGTTGCCATGACTTCCACCACTTCATTATTAAAAAGGGAAACAGACCAAAAAGTTTCGCCTCAAAAGTCTGTTAATCATCGCCAGTCTGTTACTCATGCATTACTTCAGAAAAATGTTGAAAATAATGATATAAAACAAATTTCTAAAATCTCAGCAAAAGGTACAGCTCATTTTTCATCAGTATTTCTTTATTCTTCAATTAAAAACACTAAATTATACACATTCATTGTGCAACTTTTTTTTTTTCAACTATTCACAACTATCATACACCATTCATGTGTCTTTTTTATAAACATCATACACATTTATCATTCACCATCTTTTTTTGAAAACAATCATACACCATTTATCTTTTTTTATAAACAACTGTCGAAGATAGTATGTAATACATAAAAACATGAGTTATAGTTTCACTCTACACATTAGATGTTTTGGGTAAAAGTGGTTCAGACAGCAAATGGGAAAGATTGCGTAATTACATTCATCAAAAAGCAATTGTAAAAAATAATGGAAGTTCAGATGGTAAGTAAGATGATCGGAAGGCAGTTAATACTTTGATATTTTCAAATTTTGTATTAAATATAATTATTTGAAATATAGCTGTCAGGCCTTAGTATCATAACATAAATATAATTATTTGAAATTTAGCTGTCAGACCTTATTATCGTAACATAAAACGAGAAAAGCGAGGATATGAAGATTATGAGGATTTCTACAGCAGTGATGATGAAGATACAACTAAAAAAATAGGTAAAAGTTTTTTTTATAAAATCACATGAACATAAAGAATATTTAAGTTATCATTAATATTGTTAATAAGTATATACCAGGCAGCATATATATAGACAGCATAGTGGTCAAGTTTAAAAGAAGCAAAAATATATTGAAAATTTAGAAATGCTTATTTTATATACAGATTATTATTTTAGATTTAATTGCACACAAACTATAGTATTTTAACATAAAATAAAATAATTAATTTTTTTATGGTTTTTAAAATAATTTTAGAGATGTTGTTATAAAATATATTTATTATAATAAAATATGATTATTATATTTGAAATTTTAATTATTCTTTTGACCCAACATCATTTGTTGTTGGGTCTTCTTTTGGGTCAAAAGAAGACCCAACAACAAATGATGTTGGGTCTTCTTTTGAGACCCAACATTATTTTTTTTTAATAAAAATCTTTAGTGTTGACATCATGTATAAGACTATATGTTATATTAGTATGAAAACATCAAGTAATACGAGTTCTATTAATACAGTTAAAAATTTATCATTAGAAATTTTTACTGGGTTTTTGTTAACAGCATCATCAGCTTGTAAAAATGAAATCATTTTTACAGCTGATGATGCTTTTAACCATAATCCAGCAAAAATTTCTAATAATAAATTAATTGTATTAAGAGAACTCGTATTAACTGATGTTTTAGTACTAATATAATATATATATATATATATATATATATATATATATATATATATATATATATATATATATATATATATATATATATATATATATATATATATAATATATATATATATATATATATATTAATATATATATATATATATACATATATATATATATATATATATATATATATATATATATATATATATATATATATATATATATATATATATATATATATATATATATTATATATATATATAATATTGTGTATTCAGCTGAATCAGATAACTTTGCATACATTACAAATCCTCCCGTTTATCAAAGAATAAGTGATCCTGAAGGTCAGGCAGCTCTGGAAGAAACAAGAGCAATCATTTTATTGTCACAGGTTGGTGTTTTCTTTTTCTGCCTTTACTTTTACCAAACCCCCAAGACAAGTTGTTTATATATTAGAGAAAATTGCAAAATAAAAATTTTTTTGGATTAAATTTTTTTGATTAAAACAAAAAAATAAATGCATACCAAGAAAAACTAACTTTTTTATTTTAATCAAAGCTTGCCTTCTCCAATTTGTTCTAGGTTAAAAAGTCAGCATATTATATGCTGCAATCTACAGACTTAATAATTTATTCAAGCGCGATTTATATCTAAGAGTTTTAATAACAACAACAGCAAGATATTTATTTTCCTTTTCAAAATTTATATATAATCATATAATAACAATAATAATAATAATAATAATATTATTATCTATAATAATACAAACAATTTAGTTATAATAAAATATAACTAGTAAGAATAAATATAAATAATAATTTGAAAAGGAAGGTGTCACTCAAACAGAAGCCTGATCAAAGGAGCAATACGAAATAATTATAACAATAATAATTAAATAATAATAATATTATCTATAATTATACAAACAATATAATTATGATAAAATATAACTAATAAAAATAAATATAAATATAAATAATTATTTAAAAAGGAAGGTGTCACTCAAACAGAAGCCTGATCAATTAGTGACACCAAATAACTAAAACAATAATAATTAAAAATAATAATATTATCTATAATAATACAAATAATATGATGACATGAGTGTTACTTATGATCAAAATGAGTGACACCAATTAATTATAACAATTGGTATAATAATAAAATAATAATAAAAATAACAAATATGAACCGAAAATCGCTAAGAAATTAAATAAAATAATAATAACAACAATAAAGCTAAAATAAGTTAAATAATATGAAAACACTCAATAACAACAGCAAACAAAAATAAAAATAACTAGCAAAACAGAACAAATAAAAAACAAACCTTACACAAACGAAAAGGCAAAACACAAAAACTACAAAACTTTAAATTGAAACACAAATGCTTCTACAAAATAAAATTAAATTAAAAAATAAGGACAAACTTTAGTTATTTTTTGCAAACTTTACGCAAACGAAAAGAGGTGTAGAAAAATTGGTTGCGATTTTTTACGTTTTGGTTAGTTCTTTTAATTATTATTTCGAACATTTTTCAAAATTTTTTCTTTTAAATATTTTTTTTTAAGTACATGATGCACTGAATTTTTTGTTTGTTTACAAATTCAATCTTTTACGCAAACAAAAAAATCAATGACGTTATGTACTGACACTTAGGAATAAAATGCATTTAAATAAATTATCAAGTCCGTAGGTTGCGATGTATATTATGTTTTTGGTCTACTACAAAACGGAGAAGGCCAGCTTCGACTAAAATGAAAAAGTTAGTTTTTCTTGGTATGCATTTATTCTTTTGTTTTATTCACAAAAATTTATCCGAAAATTTTATTATTCTCTTTAATATGAACACAACATGTCTCGGAGTTTTAGGATCCCTTAAAACTTTTTTATTTCATTGCAAAGTTTTTTAATATTCATGTTTTTTAAAAACAATGTTTTCAAACATCTGATTGTTAGCTGATAAAGTTTCTTTTTTTATCAAATATTTTTATAATGAGGGTTTTAAAATATGCTTCTGATGCTTAAATTAATCATGGTGAAAGTTGAAGAAACAAAATACTAATACCATAATAAATAATAAAAAAGTTACAATGTTTTCATTTATTAAAACTAACAGTTTTCATTATTAAAGAAAAAAACTATATTTAAAATGCAAAATATGGAAAACAATTGTCAATTGTCTTCATAAAATTAAAGAGAATCTTGACAAACAACTTGTAACCTAGGATAGAAATAGATTCATAAATTTATTATAAAAGTATTATTGGTATAAACATGACCAGAACATTTTTTTATTTTATCTAATTATATATTTTTTATTTCAGATTGATTTAGCATCCAAAGAAGCACTTGAGTTGTTAAATAGAACTTGTTATCCGGTAATTTTGTTATTAACCGTGTGTCTATATATATATGTATATATATATATATATATATATATATATATATATATATATATATATATATATATATATATATATATATATATATATATATATATATATATATATATATATATATATATATATATATATATACTACCAGTCAAAAGTTTGGGATTGCTAAATAAATTTAATAACATGCACACAAAAAAAAAATTTTTTCATTATATGTTTTTATTTGTTACAATAAAATAATCATAGCTTAAAATAGGAGATTTGAAAATCATGCAGTATATTTATTTATTTATTACAACACAGATTTTTCCAATAATTTTTAATTACTCATTGTTTACAATAAAATAATCTTTTAACAAAATAAGATAACATACAAAATCTTTCAGTTTTTTTTTTTTTTTTTAATTTTTGTTTCTTCTAAGTATCCTCCTTTTGCTTTTATAATAGTAACATATGCTCTGTGCATCCTTACAATCAATTTCTGCTATCATTCAGTTAATATTTGATTCCAACATGTTTTTATGAATAACCAAGGTGTTTTTGATTGGTTTGTTGCATTTTTCTCACATTTTTATCTAACTTGTCCCACAACAACTCAATTGGGTTTAAATCAGACGACTGAGGGGGCCATTCCATATGTTTTAATTTTTTTTTGTTTTTCTTTGGCGTTGATATAATTTTGCCAGAATTTAGAAGTGTGTTTGGGATTGTTAACCTATTAAAAAACAAATCCGTGATCCACAGTTATTTTTTCACAGTTTGCGTAGTAATGTTTTTTCAACAGCAACATATCCTTACAAGCCGTAATTGCGAAAGCATTGTTTTACAGTTAAAAGAGATACTGGTCTTTCCTGTATGGAATTAAGTTTTATAACTTTCGAGTTGTAGTTCCAGTACTATTTATTTTACCTTGAAAACAGACATATTTGCCTTTGTGATTGTGCATTGCTATAAGCTTCCCTGAACAATGACAACTAATTTGCTATGTTCTCATAACTGCATTTAAGAATCATTGGTTTTTGAAGCTATTTTCTGTGTTGACCTTCCTAGTGTAATGCCACAATAACAGCTTATTTTTATACACTCAACTCAGCTTTTTATTCATTTTACTTCAATCAAAGCATAAAATGATTTGATATATACTTTTCTTTAAATTTCAATTCTTGGACAAAATTCTTTAAAAAATAAAGCAAGTGAACCCAAACTTTTGACTGGTATTGTGTATATTTGTGTGTGTGTGTGTGTGTGTGTATATATACATATATATATATATATATATATATATATATATATATATATATATATATATATATATATATATATATATATATATATATATATATATATATATATATATATATATATATATATATATATATATATATATATATATTAGGGTGTCCCAGCCGCCCCTTATATTCTAAAAAAGATCTGTTCATAAACTTTCTATTGGTTCTCACAAGCAACTCTGTTAAGTTTTTCCAAAAATTTATTGGATTTAGGGGGAGCACAAGACCCTTGAACACTTACCGGGTCCCTAATAATATTAAAAACTTTTTTTCTCAAAAGTATGTCATGTTGGGTCTCAAAAGAAGCGAAATTATATAAAAATTTTAAAAATAACAATCATTTTATAAAAAAATTATTATTTTAGAGTTTTTTGCAGAAAAATGACCTTTTTTAACCTAAAAATAAAAAAATTGTATTTTTCCAATAATTATTCCAAAAAAAAAATTGAATAGTAATTTTTTTTTTAAAATAATTGTTATTTTTAAAATTTTTATATAATTTCAAAATGGGCAAATCATAAACAATCATTTAAAAACAAAAAAATTTTAAATTTCACCATGCTCTTAAAATAATTATATCTAACAAAAAGAAAAATTTGATGTGTGTGTATATGTATATATGTATGTATATTAAAACAATATTAACTTATACGTTTTTTTTTTACTTTAGGTCATACATTCTGTAAGAGAGAAAGCACAAAGAGAAGGGTAAGTATTCTCCCATAAAAAAAGATTGTTTCTAAAAGCTTAGTTTATTTCGAAAAAAGCATATTTTTTTAATTATTTTTTTAGACACCAAAAACTCAAAAGTCAAAAGTGTATGCAGTTTTTTTGTCAACTTTTTTTTAAAATTAAATTTCAACTTTCAATTTTATTTTGATTTAAGTATTTTTAAATTTTGTGATCACTGTTTTTTTTCCCTAATCGTTTTGTCTTAAATAATAAAATAAATATTGGTTATGAAAATAAATATTTATGAATAAAATAAATATTAGTTATGAAAATGTTTACAGAATATCTTTAAGATACCTAGATAATTTTGAGTTGTTTTTTTGTTAGAGAACAAAGTTTTTTTCAAATAGAATTAAATCATTTTTTATTCATAGTATATCTTATAAAAAATGTTATAAATATAGTTATAATCAAAAAGTTAAAAGAATACAAGTTAAAATAAAAAAATTATAAATATACAAGTTATGATAAAAAATGGTTAACAACTTCACATTTAAAAAACTAAAACTGAACTAAAAAACATTACAAGAAAAAAAAAAAAAAGAAAATGAACATTTTCTTTTTTAATATCTTTATATATTAGTGGATCATAAAGATCGAATGATTGCTGTGGTTGAGGGTTTTGGTGATCCTTTGCGACAGAAATACAGACAAGCAAGGTTTGTGTTTTTTTTGTTTTTGTTGTTTATAAAAACTAGTTTATTAGGCAAACTGGAGTTCTACTTTCTGAAA